CAGCCAGTACCGCAGTGTGTGGGTTCGACGCAGGCGAGGCAGGACCAGGTGATAAAATGTGTGTTCCCCGGCCAGTGTCAGCAGGGCTCCACCCACGCCCATACACAGCAGCACAAACAGGCCGGAAAAGTGCTGGATGCCCATCTGGAGAGTCTGAGAACGAAAGACAAGTTCAGAGACAGTGACATTAGTTAGAAAGCTGATTCTGGGTTTCAGTCAAATTTATCCAAGATTTCTCTTTAGCAGGATGACATTCACATTTCAAGCGTGTGCTGTGTGTCCTCTGGTGTGAAGTAGAAGATAAATGATGATGTCACACGAGTCGGGAGAAGGACGAAACAAGACATTGGTGTTCTTTGAATTTTTAATTTTTTTTAATTATCGGCAAACGGGAGACTTGACGCTTCTGATGTCGTAGAAGAGGCAGCGTTCCTTTACTCGTTGACAACGTGTGTTTGTCTCCAATTGGGCCAAGTGACTGTGTCAGGTTGTATTGTTGTCAGATGTGCCTCTGCTTGTCATAATAAAACACAAACGCTGGAATAGGACAGAGAACTGTAACTTTAGCCAAATCCCGAGCTGCATCTAATCCACACCCTGCTTTAAATATACCAGGTTACTATTAGTGGTTAGCTCACCGTCTGTCTCTGTTTTTTTTTTTGTTTTTTTTTTCGTCTGTCTCTGTTTTTTGGGGTTTTTTTTGTATAATATTAGTTTGTTCTCCCTGTGTGTGGGGTTTTTTTTCTCTGTGTTAATTAGTGACGATCATAAGTCATAATCATTAATGAAAGTATGAATGATGATGATGGTGTGACGGACTGGAAGCGCCTTCAGCTAATGACTACTGGGATGTACTGCAGCTGTCCACCCAAACTGTGAAAGACAAATTAAAACCTAGAAAATAAATGAACAAATTTTCTCTGTAATTCAAAACAAAGTCCTTCCGGGATGTGAGGCTATTTGTTTTATTATCTTGAGCTGGGCATGGAATCTGCTGACAAATCTTAATTGACCAGTAATGAACGCCAGATGCGAAGCACTGAAGTTATGAAAACAGTTCCTGTAACTTGTACATAGGCCAAGTGACACAGGTTTTGTTGCTGTCCCAGACAGAGTTCGTACGATGTCTTGGCAGATGAAACTGTTGTCGGCAGATTGAAAACTATCGCTTTGAAACTTTAAAACACTTAATTAACACAAATGACTATTTGTTGTAAACAATAATAAGATATTACAATATTTGTTTTTCTACATAGTAGAATTGCTCAGTGCGCCTATAAGGGCTTATCCCCCACTTTGGGAACCACTGGACAAAGCGATAAAGGTCACACTCTAGGCCTAATGTACGTTAGATTGTCGGCATCGTCAATGTGATTTGTTCCTTGCATTTCACTGCTGTTGTATAACTTAGCTCTGTCTTTTTTAATGGAGACTATAGAGATGAAAGAGCAGGGAAATAAAAGGCATGCTTTGGAAGAAAAGGTAATAAGAGGTGAGGCAGAGAAAAGAGAGAGAGCACAAAGAGATAAGGTTAAAAGAAAAACTTATTACAACAAAGCAGCAGTTTAAGGACGATAAAAAATAGATGATGGTTAATTGAAGAGCAGTTTGTTCCCATTTATTTCACAGTCGTCCTTTCTGGCACAGTGCCTGTCTCTACTGAGGCCGTAGCTGTGGCCCGAGGAAGCAGAAGAGCCGCAGAGTTGAGCTTTTCCAGTGTTCCCTAATCGTGTTTCCTTCATCCACTTCATTTCTGCACCGCTTTTCTCAGCAAATAGCCCCATGCGGACTCGACTAAAATTCATCAGCGACAATGCTGACCTCCTCTTGCACTCAATCCAAAGGGCGCTAATTCCCACATTGTTCAGAATAGCCCACTTTCTGGACTTCATTACGGAACAAATTGCTAATAATGGCCCGATGTGGGATAAAGTTGAGGTTTTTTTCATTTGCTCACAACAACATCTGTTGCTGTTTTTAAATTCTAATTCAAATTGGGATTAAGAGGAAATGGCTTAGAGATTTAGATATTTTTGTTTTTAGAGATGATGCAGAGGTAGCAACACAGCCAGGACTGGTTAATAAGCCTACGTGATCAACAAAGTCACACTATTAAGTACTCTGACCAAAGTTGTACAACTTAATCCTACTATTAAGTAATTTCACACTAATCTGTTTGGATTAAGAAAGTGTTGCCATGAATACATTTCTGATTTCCTTTCACTGGGGGTTGTCACAGTTGCCCTCCTAGACTGAACCAATAGGGTTCAATGTGGAGTCCAACCCAGGACATTTTTGCATGGGAATTAGACTAGAAAGATGGATGGATAGATTTGTTGCTGTCACTATCTAAATGCAATATTGAATAGATGAAAGCCAACCCTTTAAAATGCGCATTGGTGTTCAAAGAAAGAAAGTTTGATCCAAATCAAAGGCCTTTTATACCCAACTCTTACAAATTGTAGGTTCTTCAAAATTGCTGGAATTGAAATTTAAATAAGAGTTCAATTGGAGTACCTTTAGATGCCCATATGAGACACAAACAAGTATTGACACCCAGACATTACAAGTCTGGTCAGCGAGGTGAATAAATGCCCTTCTGTGAGCTTGGCTGGCAGGCAATCCTGTCCCGGGAGGAAACTCATTTGTGGGAGTGCAGCAGCAAAGAAGCTTTGCTTTTACACCCGATACAAACACAAACACACACTCTCTCACCACAGACTTACCTCGGTGACGGCAAAGACTCGCTTCCCGCAGGGCACAACCTTGTACCATTTGTCATGAAGCATGTCCATGAAACCATCAGACTTGTAGCGACTGACAAACTCAGACACGTTGCGTGATAGAGGGGAGCCTTGGGGCAGACCGATGCCGTAGCCTGTAAGACACAGGACATATAAATGTGTACAACCAACATTATAGGACTATAGATAAAACCAACTGAGCCTGCAGGTCAGGTCTGAGGAAGAGACTACAGATCCTAGGTTGGAGTTCTTTATGCAGTTTTCTAAAAAGCCAGATGCCTTGCAGTAGAAGAAGAGAATTATGGGTTTACAAGCGCGAGATGGAGTCAGAACAACACTTTCCTGTTGTCTCCGGTGAATACAGTACAATTCACCGTGTCTTGGGATTTTTCTGGTGCACTATTGT